GGCCAAACCAGTGTCAATAGCACCTCCCCAGAGGCTGAAAACAGAAGATAGCTCCTGCTGACACAACACTAGGCCAACACCTAGAGCAGCATGTGCACTCATCAGCGGTATCGACGATGACTGCCTACAGCCTGGTGTCAGACAAAATAAGCATCCTCAGATGTGGTCTGGTTTTTGCCTGCTGAGAGCAATCTCTGAGGGCTGGTTTCTGGTAGTTAGAGATCAAAAACCCTACCATTACATATATACGAATGTTTTCCAAGGTAGAAATCTATTTGATATGATGATTAAGATATTTGTAAGTTACAAAATGTTGGGTTAAATTTTATTTAACGAACATTTATAGAAAACCTACTGTGTACCAAGCTCTGTGCTTGGCCCTGGGCAGTTCAGGAAGTCTAAGGCACAGCACCTGCCCTCAGGTAGCACACAGTCAACCAACTGGGATAGTCATGAGTGTCGTGGGCCTGGGATCACACTGGGGTTATGAACTAGGCACTCTGGGGAACTCAGAAGACTGTGATTACTTGGGGAACAGGAAAAGAATTGACAGAACGGGTGACATTTGAATTGGATGTTATCAGATGAGTAAGAGTTTTCCAAGAAGAGAAGAAAGGGAAAGGAGTGTTCTAGATGGGGGAACAGTGTGTGCAAAGGAGAGAAGAGTGCACAGTGCACCCTGGGAATGGTGAGGTCTAGTGAGGACAGAGCTCAAGTTTTGGGAAGTAGAAGAAAAGTAGGTTGACACCAGCTTGCAAATAATTTTGTATGTCATACTGAGGGCTTTACCTTTTAAGTTCTGGGAAGCCACCAATATTTTCTAAATAGGTGGTGGCAAAATCAGCCTGTGTTTTAGAAAGAATACCCTAGCATCAGCACAGAGCATTATTTTTAGGGAGGATGGTTTTGAAGATATTGCAATAATACAAACAAGCAATGACAAGACCCTTAACTAAGGCAGTGGCATGGGAATTAAGAAAAAAGGACAAAGGCTTTTTTGATAAAAAGGGTTTATGGGGCTATTTTTAGAAAGATTACTCTGATGCTTCTGAGGAAAAAAGACTTAGAATAGGGTGATGACTGAGGATTCTGGAGATGTTGAGGCCTGAAAGTCAGGGCTGGGACCCAACAATCTGTGTTTTCTGATGGGGTGATTCTGATGGGAGCTGAAGTTTGAGAACCATTAGCCTAAGGGCATAAAGAATACGGAGTTGTTAAAAGTAAGTGAGGATCCATCTAAGACAACTTTCTGTCTTCTTTATGACCATTAAACTTCCCCAGGAGAGGAGATTTATGGCAGTCCACATTTCTCAGATGTTTCTGCTTTTAGTCAGGAAAGGGAAGCTTTAGAAAGGCTTCTAATTTGCCTCCAACTCGAAATGATTCTTATCCCAAAGTGACATATTTCAGGGTGGCATGTTTTGATCCCCTGTAGTAATGATCAAAACAAACAGCATTCTGGGCAGGGGAGACACTAATGCAAAGTGGTGTTGGTGGTGACGAGGTGGGGAACAGCAGCAGCAACAAGACAGCACAGCTAAAACATGGAGGGAGAGTGGGCTGGACAAGTAGGCAATGGCCAGCTCATGCAAAGACTTGTTAGTCATGCTAAATTGTTTAGGTCTTATTGTAATTATGATGGCAAGTGACTGGAGAACA